AAGAGAGGCCCTAACAATAAAGGAGCTTTATATTCCGTAAAACCTGGGCCCACGCAGGTATTCAATAAATGAACTAGTGATCAAAACTTGATGTGAGTGCTGTGTTATACAGAGTCTTTATTTTTAAAAAAACATGCTTGTTATTTAGTTAATCTAAACTCAGATGTGTTTTCCCACAAAGATGTTACAAAGTGGTCAAAAAGATTATTATTTTTTTTAATTTCCCAACTTAATCATTTTTTCTTTATTTCATTTATTTTTCCCATCATTACTTATTCCCCCTATACCCTCTTTCACCTCCACCCACCCCTTCCCCCCCCACAATCACCACACTGTTGTTCATGACCATGAGTTCTTTCTCTTTTTTTTCTTTTTTGCTCAATCCCTTCACCCCTCAGAGCTGTCTGCCTGATTAAAATGGCAAGCAAAATAGAGAAAAAAGATTTTTTTAAGGTGAAGACAATTATATACAATATTTATATAAGAAATATATATATCCTATATAATAAAAGGATAATATGCAAATTGACCCTAACGGCAGAATGACTGGGAACAACCGGTCACTATGATGTGCACTGACCACCAGGGGGCAGACGCTCAATGCAGGAGCTGCCCCCTGGTTGTCAGTGCACTTCCACAGTGGGAGCACTGCTCAGCCAGAAGCTGGCTCATGGTTGGCCAGCCCAGCAGTGGTGGCGGGAGCCTCTCCCACCTTTGCGGCAGCACTAAGGATGTCTGACTAATGGCTTAGGCCCACTCCCTTGGTCGGACATCCCCCGAGGGCTCCCAGGCTACCAGAGGGATGTCTGACTGCCAGCTTAGGCCCGATCCCTCAGGGAGCGGGCCTAAGCTGGCAGGTTGACAACCCCCAAGGGGTCCCAGACTGTGAGAAGGTCAGGCCGGGCTGAGGGACCCCCACACCCGAGTGCACGAATTTTTGTGCACTGGGCTCTCTAAATATATATATATATATATATATATATATATATATATATATATATATATATGTTTAAAGAAGGATAGGAGAGTACACATAAGCTAATGTTTTAAGGTTACTTATAAAGGAAAAAAGGGAATAGAGTAGAGGGCATGGGAAAAAGTAGGCTTCTTTAAATATACTTGTTTTCTTGATTTGACTTTGAAATCATGTAAATATTTTACATAATTATGTATTAAATTTAAAAAGCAATTTGTGCAAAATTTAAAAAGTGAGACAAATGATAAATCTAAAAATAATGCTTACCAGACCCACCATACTTGTGAACTATTCACTTCCAGCTCTTCAGCACTTGTATGTGTTTTATGATTTTGTTCCTGTGGGAAATCTCTTTCTATGTATTTCCTTATTCCTCCTGAGTTTGCAGTCTGTTACCAGAATTGCTTGGGGTGGAAATGCTTATCTTATGAAGGCCATGGCAGGAGGAAGATGCAGGAGGTTGGTTCCTTTTGGTACTAACATAATCTTTCAGAAGAGTTTTTTCCTCTAATAACAGAATCTGTCTAACAAGCTAGATCATTCCAAAGTCAAGGTTGTTAGAGTTCAAAGTCTCTCCCAAATCACTTCACCAAATGATGGAGCAAAGCCATGTCTAAGCTGCAAAGGTCAAGATTCAAATATAGGTGGATCTACCTCTATTCTCCTTTGAGGTTGTCTTTCTCAATGTGTGGTCTATGGACCACCTACGCACAGAATCCCAGGTCTACTCCAGATCACAGAGTCAGAGTCTTTGGGAAAATGGTCCAGAAATGTGTATTTTTAGTAAGCTTCCTACGTGGTTCTCATGCATATCAAATTTTAAAAGCTCCATTTTAATTCATCTCTCCCTTGATACAAGGTGTCATACTTCTGTGCACCCTGTTGACCCTTCCTTATACTACTTTATCGCTTTCTACCTTAAGGCATTTTTTTCATCAGTTACTTTTTTGGGCTCTGTACTATCCACCCTTTCCCATGGCTGCTTGGTATGTTCTTGTATCCCCCCTTTTAGAATCTCCTTTCCATTCTCTTCTTTAATCTAAGATCCATAATAAACACAAAAAACATTATCTATAATTAACATTAGTTATTCTTATTTTGCCAAATAGCTTGTAAAAGTGAAGTTGATCTTCAACGGTGAGATCCCTGATCAGAATGGAAGTAGGGCAAAGTGATAAAATTTCAGTCTTATACACCATTCTTCTGTTGCTTCTCCTTTACTCTCTGACATCTGTTCTTCCTCCCACTCTCCCTTTTCTCTCTTCTTCTTCCTCTTTCTCTCTCTCCCGGCTCCTTCTCTCCATCCTAGCCTCCCTCTTTCTCACATGAAATACTTAATCTAAATATTTGAATTGCTCAAAAACTTCAACCTTCTCCTATAGCCTGAGAGCAAAGACAACTCCAAGAGAGCAGAGCCAACCTGAATTGTTCATGGTTGTGTCTCAGAATCAAGCCAGATGCCCTCCACATAATGAGAGTCTTCAGAAAATTGCACAGCCAGCCACCATTTCCTTCTGGGTCAATACCTTTTCTTCCTGCTGTTGTAGAAGTCTGTATTTGATTCCTCCATGTTCTGTTCAATGACTAGAACTCTGCTGTGCCAGTAAAAGCACTTTTAAGTAAAAATCTTTAAAAGTGTGTGCTTTGGGGTCTCATATTAGCCAAATCTCTTCCAATCATTAGGCCAGGAGTCCATAACCCGAATCTGACTAATTTAGAAGTCATTGAACTTCCTAACTTCCATATGCAGAATGTTAGTACGTGTGCAGATTTCTTGGAAGAAAGGCAGAGCTTTCACAAGATTCTCAGTGAAATCCTGATCTGAACAAATTAAGTGAGGCATAAGGCATCCACTGTTCACAGTTCCTACATTCAGGATCCCTTCATTTCCTCAGTTTCTTTAGAATTATCTTCAGTGGTCTAATCCCCCCAGTATAATTTGCTTTTCTTGATGACTTAATTACACACACACACACACACTGAGTAGCCAGATTATTATGACCACCCCGTCAGTATTTCGTTGGGCCACCTTTTGCCTTCAATACTGCAGCGATTCTTCTTGGCATTGACTCCACAAGATGTTGAAAGGTGATGTGAGGAATCTAACACCATGCCTGATGAATAACACTGTCCAGTTCTGTGAGATTTGATGGTTTGTGGAACCAGCTGCCTGATGGCTTTTAACTTCGTCCCACAAATGCTCAATTGGATTGAGATCTGGTGATTGTGGGGGCCATCTAAGCAAGGTAAAGTCTCCCTCATGTTCTTGAAACCACTCCTGCACAATACGAGCACCGGGCCATGGCACATTGTCTTGTTGGAAGATAATGCATGGAGCATTATCTCCATTAGGATAAGCCATCAATATGATAGGATGAAGTTGATCAGCAACGATACTTAGGTATGTTGTGCTATTCAGACTTTGTTCCACACAAATTAAAGGGCCCAAATCATGCCAGGAAAACATGCCCCAAACCATAACACTGCCCCGACCAGCTTGAAGGGTTGTACTCATGCATGTGGGGTGCATGCTTTCATGCTGTTTCCGCCAAATTCTCACTCTGCCATCTGCATGATGCAACTGGAAACGTGATTCATCAGACCACGTGACTTTTTTCCAATGCTCAACTGTTCAATCTCTGTGTTCCTGTGCAAATTGGAGACATTTTATCTTGGTAACTGCAGACAGCAAAGATATTCGAACAGGCCTTTGGCTTCCATATCCCATACGATGCACTGTACAGCTAATTTGCCTACAAACATCAGGTGGTCATAATAATCTGGCCACTCAGTGTGTGTGTGTGTGTGTGTGTGTGTGTGTGTGTGTGCTAATTTCAGAGAGGAAGAGAGACGGAAAGAGAGATAGAAACATCAAAGATGAAAGATCATCATTGATTGGCTGCCTCCTGCACCACCACCCCACTCCCCCATACTGGGGATCTAGCTCATAAGCCAGGCAGGTGCCTTGACTGGGAATCGAACTTCAACCTCCTGATTCATAGGTCAATACTCAACCACTGAGCCACAGCGGCTGGGCAATGACTTCCTTTTTTTAAAATGACTTTAAAAAAAATATTTTAATACTATAGCCAGTCCCCAAACCCTGTATGGTTGCAACAAATTTTCTATTTCTTTCCTAACTTAGACTTTGTTCTATTTAAAGTCTTATTTATATATGTTTTAATATGACAACCTATTGCATAGGAAGTAGATAGGGGATAAATCATAGAAACAAGAAACCATTTGAGTACTTATGTTATAGGGACCTATTTATTCTAAGGCATTTGCATTTATTATCTCTTTTAGCTTCATATTGGGTATGTGCAGAAGATATTATTATTATTATTGTTATTATTACTACCTTCACTTTACAGATGAGGAAATAATAGAGGGTGCAATAATAGAGGGTGGGTACCAAGAAAAAGATTTGTGTCGTTGTCTACTGTGGCAGAAACTACCTGTACTAGGTACTGCCATTTAAAGTTTCAGATTTAATTCACATAGTCAAATACAGAGAATCAGAAGATTCTGGAAGTGTTAATATTAGAAGCCAATTAACAGTAATATTCCAGCCACTTCCCAGTGAAGAGATATTTAAAGATGAGGCCAATTACAATAGTATTTTTATTCGTTTAATTATTTTTAATTAGCTTTATTTAAGCTATGGGTAGTGCCAAAGAAGAGGGTATACACTTGGTAACAGAATACAATTAAAGTTCGATATTCATATTTGTTGCAGAAACCTTTATTTGAAAATGATGAACGGCCCGTCCTAGGGAGAGTCCCCCAGGAACTATTAATGTTTTCCTAAGCCAAGCTGAGAATGAGGCGAGCGCTCAAAAAAGAACTACAAATCCCAGAAGGCCCTTTCTCCCATCTTTTCCGCGAGACTCGCAGGGGCGTGGCTACATCAACCAATCCCTTCATTGAAAACCTATGCTACCAGCCAATCAGAAGGCGAGCAGGCGCCGGAAGTCGGGAGGCAGAGGGCGCGGTAGGTTTGAAATTGGGAAGTTGGCGCGGCAGAGGGAGGTGGGTCTGCAGCCTGGCGGTTAGCTGGGGTCGGTCCACGTCCTGTGCGGGGAGGGCGGCGGGGCCCAGGCCTCCCGGAGAAGGTGAGGGAGGTGGATTTGGGGCGGATGTGTGTTGGGGGAGGGCGTGTGGGGCCAGTGTCTGAACGCACGTCCTGTTGTTTGTGAATCTGGGCCTCGCGGGTGGGCAGCGGCGAGTCTGAGCGAGACGCCTGTGGGTCCCTGGGGAGATTTTAGGTCTTTGGGGCGGTGTTAGCGTTCCAGAGGACTGGTGGCACCTGGGTCTGGCAGGACAAGCTTTCCCAGTGGAGGACGCCGAGGCCGGAGAGTGCAGGTGGCTTGCTCAGGGCCTGGACTACATCCACTGAACCCCCCCCTCCCCCCCCAGTCTTCCCTTTGCTGCCGCCTGACCTGACCTGGGGTGGGAGGAAGCGGGGGGTGAGGGTGGGGGGGGGTAGGTGCGGGGGGTCTTATCCTACCGGAGGCGCCGGCACCCGGGACTTGGCGATTCAGGCTGGAAGTGAAAGTGTCAGAGTTGGGAGGTTCCTTAAGGGTCACCGATTTTACTTGTGATAAAATGTAGTGGGCGTCATTTTCCCAGGGTCAGAGCGTGTGAGTGGCCCGTGCAGCTACATGCCAGCGACTTTCTAGGAGGTCAAGGTGCCCTGCATCCTGCTGCACTTTAGCCCTAGTTAACCCCAGGCGACTGAGCTGCTCTGGGATATCTAGAGTTAAAAGTTAAGTTGCTAACCTTTTCTAGCAAAGGTCAAACTGCCAAAATATCCTTGATTGGAATATGTGCCTGATGTGATTCGAGCAACTTAAAAAATACAGTGTGTGTTCTACTTGTTTTGTAGCGTTGTCTTACAAAATGGTAGAGGATGAGCTGGCACTGTTGGATAAAAACATAAATGAGTTTTGGAATAAATTCAAAAGCAATGTCAACGACACCTCCTGTCAGATGGTGGGACTAAGGGATAACTACAAGGACATCAGTAAAGCATTTACAGGTACCTAATGTTAGTTTGTGACATTATGTTGTTCTTTGCTTTTTAGTGTTATTTCAGCTGAATTGAAACATCAATTCCAATTTCTCTTTCAGAAAAACTGTCTGTGAAATTGAAGGAAGAAGAGCGAATGGTTCAGATGTACTTAGAATATCAAAATCGTATGTGACAATCTGTAGATCTGTTTTTTTTATATTAAACATCTTTATGAAATCCCTGATACAAGTAAAACAATGTATGCTGTATGAATGTGTGTGTATGTATGTATATCAAAAGAATAAACATTTATATTCATACCCAGCTTAATAAATAGAACATCCCATGTTATACCTTCCTCTTTTCCCACCTTCCAGAATTAACCTATCAATATTTTGTTTCGTGTTGTGGTTTTGAATGTTATATAAAAGGTATTATTTTGTCCCCTTTTTTGATGGTCTTTGGTGGTGAGTTTTATTTCTGTATTTATTTGAAGGGGGAGAGCTGCAAGGGTCATGATCATCTGGTTTTTTAATTCTTGGTTTTATTTGGTATTTTTTTAAAAAGCATTTTTATCTTTTTATTTCTATTTTCAAAGACAAATAGGAAAGAATAGATTAGGATTCTTTTCTTTTTGTTCTTTTAAAGATTTTTTTATCATTAGGAAATATTAATTAAAACATACTGTATTAATCTTATGAAAGTCAATACTTTGGTCTATCTTAGGTACGTATTGGAAAACAAAGCGTGTATATTCCAGCTAATACTGTGTGCTTTTTGCAGAGATCTGCAGGCAGAATAAGCTTATTCAAGAAAAAAAAGATAACTTGTTAAAGTTGATTGGTGAAGTAAGTGGCAAAAAGCAGGATTTGGAAGTACTGACTACAAATATCCAGGATCTTAAGGAAGAATATGCTAGGAAGAAGGAAAGTAAGTTTTCAGTTGTACACATGTTTAAACATCAATCTAAATTTCAAAGTGGTGATGGTTCACAACTCTATTTTGCCTTCTCTGCAGTTTATTGCCCAAAATAGATATTATGCCTGAGGCATAGCAAGGACTCATCTCTGTAAGGCAGCGATTCTCAACCTGTGGGTCGCGACCCCTTTAGGGGTCGAACGACCCTTTCACAGGGGTCGCCTAAGACCATCGGAAAACACATATATAATTACATATTGTTTTTGTGATTAATCACTATGCTTTAATTATGCTCAATTTGTAACAATGAAATTGAGGGTCACCACAACATGAGGAACTATTAAAGGGTCGCGGCATTAGGAAGGTTGAGAACCACTGATGTAAGGGGTCTCTGAAAGTAGCTGAGTGGGTTTTATTTTCTGTTTTACTTAAAGGTCCTTTGGATTTCTTATATAGCCAGAGTAAGAGTGAAGTTAATCAGTGAGTTTAATTAAGTGTAGCAGGAGACAGTTTCACAAAACAAGATTTGCTTGGGAGAAGCCATAGTATAATGTAGGTAACAAATTTATGGATCATGCATTCTCTGACAGAAACTATTAAGCAACCTCTTTATGCTGGAAAATTACTTTGTTTAAAAAACTTTTATATTCAAATGAGTGTTTCCTTTGGAGTCTTGTTTGCCCACAAAGTAATCAAGTCTCAAATCTCTTGAAAATAGCAAAGTTTGTTTTGTTAATGCTTTTTCTTACAGAATTTGTTTGCTAGCCTACATTATTTTTCTTATCTGCTATTTATTACTTAGGACATAATGTGCTAACTTTAAGAATAATTCTAAACTAGCATGAAATAAAGCTGACTTCTTGTGAGAAATAATTATGTTTAAAAGAATAGAAATATTTTTCCAGTGAAGCAATTTCTTGGCTAACCAGAAAAAAACAAAATAGTATAAAGGAAGTCTGTTTCTCTGCCAGCCATGCAAATCTTGGCCTGTTTATTCATGCTACTAAGTGATAAAGTAGAATAAAACATTCCTCTCACTTTTGTATTTTCTCACAGTTTTTCCTTTCATCTTGAATGAACAGAAGCCCCTTTTGCTAATTGGTAGAGATAGAGACTGAATAAATTTAAGCAGATTCATTTGTCTGGCATCATTTTTATAGTTGTTTCCAAGGTTATTAAATTAATTAAATGAGCACTGAGTATTATTTAAAATATTTGATAGTGTGTCTGTTTTCTTAATCAGCTATTTCCACTGCTAAGAAAACGAGTGAAGAGAGGTTGCAAAGGTTACAGAAGTCTGTAGACATATTTAAAGATCGACTTGGACTAGAAATTCGAAAAATTTATGGTAAGTATATTAATGTCAATACAACAGGAAATTAGGCGTGTCATTTTTTAAGTAGAGGAGAATTAAAAACATTTTTTTTCAAAGCAAAAATATTTCATGTTTTCAAGTAAAATAATGACTATGTTATTAACTTTTTAGAAAATAGGGGGGAAAACTACAAAATTTTTATCACCATAACCTAAGTACTAATGCCTTGGTTATTTATTATCCATTGTTTTAATAAATGTATTTCGGGCATGGTTTAACAACCATGCAAATAATTTTTGTCCTTTGCTCATACTGGTATTGTATGATTAGCATTTCTCCAATTGTTATATTGGTAAATTTTAAAATGGTATAATAATTCATCCATTAACATATCATTAGCACGTGTATTGCCTCTAAGTTAACTTTTGGATTCTGCCTGTATTTTAGTTTTAGAAGTACTACGGTGAATGTAGACTACTCCATTTCTTTTGTATAACTTCCGTGGAATTCCCAGAGAGGAATTACTGGTTAAACATGTGAATATTCCAATGGCCTTTACATGTATATATGCCAATTTACAGCACTGCTTATTGTGTTGGGAGTCCCCAAGATTACCATCATGTTTGGTGACTTGCCAGAAAGATTTACTGGACTCGGCATATAGTCATAATTTTGATGAAGCACAATGCCTTTTTTTCTTTTGTTATTTGTCATTTTGGTCATATGTAAACTACAATACTTTTAAAAACTAATTTGCAGCACACATTTGGAGATATTGGTTAAGTGAATATAAAGGGTGGGACAAAAGTAGCTTTTGGAAAATAATACAATAATTAATACATAATAATACAAGAATAAACTCTATTTTGTATACTCACAACTACAAACCTATTTTTGCCTCACCCTATATATACTTAGTGTTTAATGATTGATCAGAGACAAAGATAAGAAAGCACATCTCCATCAAAAGCTTTGGCACTAAAATGTTCTCACATTAAATAACTTAATCTCTTTTCAGGTGATAAATTGCAGTTTATATTCACTAATATTGACCCTAAGCATCCTGATAGCCCATATATGTTTTGCCTGCACCTAAACGAAGCAAGGGACTATGAAGGTATGCCCTCTTCTCTATAACTGGTATTTAAGTTTGCCACCCCAAAATGTTACTTGAATCAGAATATAAAGTAATAGGATGAAATAATATTCCCACAGCTATTGTTTTCTTTTTCAGTCTTGCTTTTTGGGATATTGTCTTATAAAGGCTGTGACTATAATAGACTTTTGATGGCACCGTGCCACAGTGGCAGAAAAGTCTAAAAGATAAAAGATCACTATATTATGAAATATGAGTTATCCTTTTAGAGAACTCAAAGCAAAGCTATAAAGGATATGACTACCTAAATGTGAATACTATTATAATTTATCCAAGTAGGTGATTTTAAAACCAAATGTAAAATCATTAGACTCTGGTAATTTTTGTCCCCCCAAAAATCAATTTTACAAAATTATTCCATCCTGAAAAATTCTACACATTGGTAATTTAGCTGAGTTACTGATTCTCTAGCAGGCCAGATGGCTTTTGATTTATGAGGAATATATATGATTGGTAATAGTGTGAACAAGAAGAGAATGGAAGTATATTTATCTCTTTTTTATTCTTCTAATTCCCCTTTAAAAGTGATTAATTTATTGGAACTCAGGAAATGGTTCTCAGCTTTTGGTGCCTGTCTTCTCACTAAAGCTTTATAGGAGACACACACTCAGGTGAACTCTTTAGTTGGCTCTCCAATGTGCCCTTGAACCCAGTTCCTGTTCTAATGAAATTTATATTTTAGGACTCAAATTCATGTACAAATATTTGGCTTTTTTCTCTCTAGGTAAATATCTCCTAATCTAATGAGTGCTGAATTTTAAGAAGCAATCCCAGGAAACCTCTTACCTAGCTTTTAAATTTTCTCCAAATTGGATTCCTCTATTGCAGTGGTTCTCAACCTTCTGGCCCTTTAAATACAGTTCCTCATGTTGTGACCCAACCATAAAATTATTTTCGTTGCTACTTCATAACTGTCATGTTGCTACTGTTATGAATCGTAATGTAAATATCTGATATGCAGGATGGTCTTAGGCGACCCCTGTGAAAGGGTCGTTCGACCGCCAAAGGGGTCGCGACCCACAGGTGAGAACCGCTGCTCTATTGCTTCATAGTGTCATAGTATTTGATAGTGTGTTAAAATAGATTCTGCAGTTTAATTTTGAACCAACTGGTTTTTCTCTATTCTTTCTCTGCTTGGGCCTTGTTTCCTAAACAATTTTTACCAAAGAGCAGGATCTGATGTGGTCGAATTTCTTCCCCTTGAACAAAGTACAAGGTTGATGGTAGAGAATGCTGGATCATCCCTTTTTTTTGACTGACCTCTCTGGAGACTTGCTTGCTCCCATATGTACCATCTGGTTCAAGGGCATATGAGATCCGTACTGTTATTTGTGATTTGAATATCATTTGTTTAGTAAGCCCTATAAATGCCACTTTTGGAATAGTGACATTTTCTAATGACCTCCCTCATTTGTGAGACTTCATACCCCTCCTACCTATAATTGTAAGTAATTAAGGGTTGGAATTTTTTTGATTCAGTGGAAAGATACTAGAAGTCAGGCCAAATTTCTGTAGAGAAAAATGACTTAACAATTTAAACACATACACACAAACAACCTGTTAAAAATAGTTTAATTAAAATGTATAGGAAAGATGATGGGAAATGGTATTCTGTTCTTTATCACTAAGCTCTTCAATCCCTTGCCTACCATCTGTTTAAATTTAAAGCAAGATTGTAGTACAGAGATTTGAATATTTAGTGATTAAGCAGAGGAAAGGTTCAAAAGATAGTTAAGATATGAAAATTAGGTGTATCTATCATCCTATGCTCAAATCAGTTCAATAAAATGGGACTAAAATTATGAATTTTAAAATTATGAAAATTAAAATTATGAATCAGATGAAAGCATCTAAATTGGAAAACTTCTCCTCCATAAAAAATCTCATTCAAATTGTCTTTTTTTTCTTCTTCTAGTGTCAGATAGTGCTCCTCATCTTGAATGCCTAGCAGAATTTCAAGAGAACCTAAGGAAGACCAAAAATTTTTCAGCCTTTCTTGCCAATGTTCGGAAAGCTTTTAGTACTATGGTTTATAGTTAATGTATAAATAGTACATAAAATAAAAACTGTTTATTTTCTCCCCTGTTTTGTATCTCTTAAAAAGAATTCTCATTATCAATAGTTTGCCTGTAATCCTTTTGGATTTTTTTTAACATTTCTGTGTGCTGTGTTTCTTTAAAGTATTTAATTAAAATCTTAGGAAACAAAATTTATAAAGTCAAATGTGTTCTTTTTAAAATGAAAGGATATATACATATACAGTTGACTCTTGAACAACATGGGTTTGAATTGCTCATGTCAACTTATATGTGGATTTTTTTTTCAATAAATATATAGTCATCCATCCATACCCCTGGGTTTCACATCTGCAGATTCAACCAAGCATGGCTAAAAAACAGTGTTTTCAATCTGTAGTTAGGAATCTGCAAATACAGAAGGTTGACTTAAATTATCCATGGATTTTCAACTGCATGGGGATTGGAGCCCTTATCACTGCAGTTGTTCAAGGATCAATAATATATTTACATATATATTTTTAGATAAAGTTTTATTAATATATATTATATATCATACACATATGTAATAAGTATATATTTTTTGTATTATTAAAATATGTATTATATATATATACCTCTGAAGGTATTGTGGTTGCTTTCCCTCCTTAAAAGATTAGACTCGGGGAGTATTGGTTGTTACTGGTAAGTCAGAAATGGAGAACACAGTTTAAATTCTGGGTAAACACAGATGCTTTCTTCTTCCTTCTAAATTGCAGATCGCATGTTTCTTCACCTGACCAGCTGGGAAGCTGGATCAGAGGTGGAAGACCCAGATGGGTAATGTGGAGCCTTACTGAGCAGGACTAGTTTGCCATGTATGAACACAATGGTCAGAGAGTGAAGGGCTGAGAAGAAGGGAGAGATCGGGAAGATGGGAGGAAAAGGTCAGGGTAGGAGTGCAAAAGAATGGACTGAGAGGGGCAGTGGGGAACTGCTTGTTTCTCATTCCCTATTATCAAGATATGGCCCATCCCATACTTTCTTTTGCCTACATGATTACCTAGTAAGTGGCTGAGGAAGAGGAGGAAGATTTTTTATCTTTTTTGTTTGTTTGTTTTGAGAGAGAGAGAATGTAATGTAGGCCAAAATATTCCTTCTTCCCAGGGCAATGAAGAACCTAAAAGGAAAAGTTACCCTTAGCTATTGCGCTCTCTACAATGGGGAAAGACTTCTCCAGTGAGGTCCCCAACACCACTCATTTTAAAAAAACGTATTGGATCAGGAGGGCATGTTCCTTTTTTACAGCCAGCTTCTTGAGTGTATGGTTTTTCTCTACTTTCTTCAACAGTGCTCCTTCCAGGTATGTCTGCTGTAGTTTAGTCAATATTCTCAAGATTCGTGCAAGTAAGCCAGTGGTTCTCAAAGAGCAAACTTGCATCAGAATCACCTGGAGTCTCTGACTGAGTGTGAAGTGGGAGCTAATACTTTGCATTTCCAACATAGTACAAGGTTATACGGGCACTGCTGGTCCAGGTGAAAATTTGGCTCAGCCCTAACCAGTGTGACTCAGTTGTTTGGTGCACATTGTCCTGTGCACCAAGTGGTTGCCGGTTCAATTCCTGGTCAGAGCACATGCCTAAGTTGCAATCCCCAGTCGGGGGTGTGCAGGAGGCAGCTTATTGATGTTGTGTTCTCACATTGATGTTTCTCTGTCCCTCCCTTGTTCTCTTTCTCTCTCTCCCTCAAAATCAATTATGTATATAATTTGGCTCTACTTGACAACCACTGGAGTAAGCACTTACCCCCAATGTCCAGAGAACTCAATTTACAAGCCAGTTGAAACAGATCAGTAACATATTTGCCACCTCATATAACTGGCCACCTGGCCCCCATCCCTGCTATGCACTCCCTGGTGGGACTCCTTTGTTGTCCCCAGATCTCTATCATAAGAGCCGAGCCTTAGGACGAAGGTCTTTCTTGATAGTTCAATTTGCTCTTCAGTTAGCTTCTCCTATCACATAATTCCTTTGAGAAAGAGTTTTTCTCTCTAATTCTGTGAGTCTAATTACTCCCACCTCAGCTCAAAGCTCCTTTTCTCAACATTCCCGTGACTCCTGATCAGGTTAGTATCCACTTGGCTCAGCAGATTTCCGGGGCTGCAGGCACCTATATCATTTAGTTTCCCTGAGCTGAGCTCCCATCTGCATATGCATGACCTGGATTCTCTAGCTCGCTGATTTCTCACTCCTGTTCCTTGTTGCTGCTCAGCCAGAGGAAGGCAGGGACTCAGACTCTGTCCCCGCAACCCTTTTCAGGATCACAACATACAGGGAACTCTGACACTCCATCCAAGTAGTTCTATCCCTGTAGCTGCATTCTCTACAAAAGGTTCCTGCTCTTCTCTGCTTGTCCCCACATCTTGGTTCAACCTTCTCATGCCATACGTCCCCAGGTCACTTTCCCAAGATTATACATTCTGTTCTCCCTATGTAACATAGTAAGTGACTATAGAGCATATTATTTTGATTCTAATGTGCTTCTCTTGCTCCAAATCAGGCTGATTACCCCACAAAGCCATTTTGGGAAAGGAGGGCTTTTCTCTTGGAGGAGGGAAGAACGCTAGACTATGCTCAAATAATTATCAGTTAAAGCCTTATAATACAATAAAATTTACTTTAGCCCAAATTGCATATTATATTACTTTCTGATGAATTAGAATGGATTATAGTATTCATTATAAGTATTAGTATGGGTAATTGAAAATGAAAAAAGTGAAATTAATAATCTTCTGGTTGATAGTGTGATGGATATGTTAGCCTTTACTAGAAAGGAGATAAATTAGAATAATGCTTTCGGTGAAAATCTGACTCAGACCTCTCAACTCCCTATATTTCCGGTTGTTAATGTCACTAAAAACTTCCTGACATATGAAACTGCTTAGAGGAGTATAATTATGAAAGCCTAATTAAGAGTTTAAAAATATGAAAAAATTTTTATTCTATATAAAAACCTTGGACACATAATCAATCTTCACAATATATACTTAATTTTTACCAGAATCGAAGGGTACCATCCCCATCAGTCCAATCAGAAAATTCTTGCCTTCCTAAAAAGATCTTAAAGATAAAAATTGTTATGCCCAACTATATTTGTATTTCATCTAGTTTAAGACTATAGCATTTCTTTGAAGTTTAATAATTACATATCACAGCTGCAAAAAGAATATGTGGTAGCATTTCAAAACAGGAAAACCATTTATGTTTCTATAAAGTAAAACTGATTTATGAAGAGGAATCTCTTTCTTTGAAAAGTACTTTCAAAGAGTTTCAGGGTCCAACCACCATTATCATCACTTTCTCTATACAAACGATTCAGTGTAGGCTGCAGTCAATTGCTACATAATTTTTTACCCATCAAGGCTAATGGAAAGAAGTAAGATGAAAAAGAAATATAAGTTAAAAATCTCCGTTCATGGTCTAATGGCCTATTATTCAGCCCACTTTCTACATGCAGAAAGCTATCGTTAATACACCATTAAGGATGACATTAAAACTTCTGATCCGTTCTTCTAGGCTTTAAGTTATGCCTCACATAACAAATTTTACTTGAGCTCCTTCAGGTCTGATATCTGTATCTATAAATATCTCTGTATTAGTTATATCCTATAGGAGTGTAATATGCACAGTATAAAAAAATATGTACCTTGCTTTGAAAAATTCCTTCTTGAAAATATAAAATCTGAATTAAAAAAAAAGGTAGGGGGCAGGGGAGAAATGGAATGGATTTTACTTGCTCCTTCAATGCAGACTGTATTTTGCACAAATGGAGACATACCCAGATGTTTCTGTCAACACCATGACTTTCCATTGAATGGAGTATGTGATCTCCAGGCTGACTTAGGCCATTTTCTGAAAGATGCTGCTGTACCACTTCTCTCCATTCTAAATTGTTACCCTCGAGAAGTTGGGGTCTACCTCTCTCATTCCCAACCTTTTCCCATTATATAGTATTTAAGAAAGCAACATAAATCTCCTTTTCTCTGAATATTCCATTTGATAGTGAATGTTGATTTCTCAAACTTTCCATCCAAACTGGAGACTCATTAGCATTTAAAGTACCTTTCATTAGGAAGTTGCATAGGGTATTCCTTTCATAATGACCCCGCTGGGAAGTATAGAATTCCTGCTTTCTAAATTGGTATATGAAGTTTCCAAACAGACAAGGAGGCACAAGGTATCGGGCAGTCTCCTTCCTAACCCTTTCCCATCTGCCTTGCTCTTGTTCTCAGATCCCCATCCACCTCTGGCTCACACTTGATCTCACTCTAAGAGCAGTTCTGGTTGTGGGAAGAAGGTATATAAGAAGGTGCTACCTCGGAATGTCATTGGCTCAGGATGGAACTCCACTTAGTATGCAGACCTCTTATCTACCACCCCCACTTGTGATCACTCAGACTCTTGACCTCAGTTTCTGACCCTTTATTCTAGTCTCCTAACTTGGGTCTATTTCTCTTGTGTCTTGTCTGCCCTTCTTTTGCTGAGCTCTTCTTCTTGGGCTTATTCTGTTTTTCTCATCTCCCAGGCCCTGTTTGACCCCCTGTAGGCCTACTGTGGCCTGTTGCCACTCAAGTCCAGAGGAAACAGACATCTGAGTCCTAGGACCTGTTGTGCTCTCAGAAAACAATGTGACTTCATGCAAGCAGCTAAACCCGCCTTGGAGTCTCTGTCTGTGACACCAGGGGTTGCATTGGGTCATCTCCAGGGTCTCTAAGAATTCGAAAACTAGGAGCCATGGGCCTCTTCCCTGCCTCCTTTCAGCCTCCCACCTTCTGACTTTGTTTCAAAAAATAACCAAGAGTACAAAGCACTGTGACCTGCAGGTAGGACTCCATCACCCAGTTAGAATGATAAACTTGGGAAGGTCACAGCATTTATCTTTATTTGCATTACAGTGTACAGTTTACAGTGTGTGTGAGGCAGTGTGCTGAGAATCTTGTTTCATGCCTGTGTACCCAGCATCTGAAGGGAGCTCCTGCACGTAAGCAGCGGGAAAGTGGCCTTTTTTCCCATTTAAAGATCCAAACCACCATC